CCAGCATGGCATCCATGATGGACTGACTGTTCACCTTGTCATCAAAAGCCAGAACCGACCTCAGGGCCAGTCCACCACGCAGCCTAGCAGTGCCGCGGCAACTAATACGACCACCACGGCATCGACTCCCAGGAGTAACTCCACACCTAGCACCACAAATAGCAACCCGTTTGGGCTGGGCAGCCTGGGAGGACTTGCAGGCCTTAGCAGCCTGGGTTTGAGCTCGACCAACTTCTCAGAGCTTCAGAACCAGATGCAGCAGCAGCTCATGGCCAGCCCTGAGATGATGATCCAAATCATGGAAAATCCCTTTGTTCAGAGCATGCTTTCGAATCCCGATCTGATGAGGCAGCTCATTATGGCCAATCCACAGATGCAACAATTGATTCAGAGAAACCCAGAAATCAGTCACCTACTCAATAATCCAGATATAATGAGGCAGACTCTCGAAATCGCCAGGAATCCTGCCATGATGCAAGAGATGATGAGAAATCAAGACCTGGCTCTCAGTAATCTCGAAAGCATCCCAGGTGGCTACAATGCTCTGCGACGCATGTACACTGACATTCAAGAACCCATGCTGAATGCCGCACAAGAGCAGTTTGGGGGTAATCCGTTTGCCACGGTCGGGAGCAGTTCCTCTTCAGGGGAGGGCACCCAGCCTTCTCGCACAGAAAACCGGGATCCACTGCCCAATCCATGGGCACCGCCGCCAGCTACCCAGAGTTCTGCGTCCACCAGCACGACCACAAGCAGTGGCAGTGGGTCTGGCAGTAGCTCCAGTAATACTAGTGGGAACACTGTAGCTGCAGCTAATTATGTTGCTAGCATCTTCAGTACCCCAGGAATGCAGAGCCTGCTGCAACAGATAACTGAAAATCCTCAGCTGATTCAGAATATGCTGTCTGCACCGTATATGAGAAGCATGATGCAGTCACTGAGCCAGAATCCAGATTTGGCTGCCCAGATGATGCTGAGTAGCCCACTGTTTACTGCAAATCCTCAGCTGCAGGAGCAGATGCGTCCACAGCTCCCAGCTTTCCTGCAGCAGATGCAGAATCCGGACACACTCGCAGCCATGTCAAACCCAAGAGCAATGCAAGCTTTGATGCAGATCCAGCAGGGGCTACAGACACTAGCCACGGAAGCACCTGGCCTGATTCCAAGCTTCACTCCAGGTGTGGGGGTGGGGGTGCTGGGGACGGCCATAGGGCCGGTAGGCCCGGTCACTCCCATAGGCCCCATCGGTCCGATAGTTCCTTTCACCCCCATAGGCCCCATTGGGCCTATTGGACCCACTGGCCCCGCAAGCTCCCCTGGCTCCGCAGGCTCTAGTGGGCCCACCGCATCCACTGTATCCAGCTCTGCACCTACTGAGACCACAAGCCCGACATCAGAATCTGGACCCAGTCAGCAATTCATTCAGCAAATGGTGCAGGCGCTGGCTGGAGCAAATCCTCCGCAGCTGCCGAATCCAGAAGTCAGATTTCAGCAGCAACTGGAACAGCTCAACGCCATGGGGTTCTTAAACCGTGAAGCAAACTTGCAGGCCCTAATAGCAACAGGAGGCGACATCAATGCAGCCATTGAGAGGCTTCTGGGCTCTCAGCCATCGTAATTACATTTCTGTACCTTGAAAAAAAATGTATCTTATTTTTGATAATGGCTCTTAAATCTTTAAACACACACACAAAATCGTGCTTTACTTTTATTTTGATTCTTTTAAATCTGTCTAGTTATAAATCTAATACGATGCATTTTAAGGTGGAATCCCTGCCTTCTATCCTCCCTGTTCTTCCTCCTCCCTCCACCCTCCTGCCCACCCTTTCCCTTCCCTTCCCTTCCCTTCTTGCCTGCCCTCTCCCCTCCCTCTTTGTTTCTTCCACTCCTTCTTTTCTTCCTTTTCTTCTTTTGATTTCCTTCCTTCTCTGTTTTGAATGATGGGAATCAATGCTGTTTCACTCAAAGGTGTTGCATGCAAACACTTCTCTTTATTCTGCATTTATTGTGATTTTTGGAAACAGGTATCAGCCTTCACAGTTGGGTGAACAAGTTTTGTCTTACAGATGTCCAGTTTATTTGCATTTTAAACATTAGCCTATGATAGTAATTTAATGTAGAATGAAGATATTAAAAACAGAAGCAAATTATTTGAAGCTCTCTAATTTGTGGTACAATATTGCTTATTGTGACTTTGGCATGTATTTTTGCTAGCAAATGCTGTAAGATTTATATCATTCACTGATTGTTTTTGCTATTATTTGTACACAGTACAGTAAGCACAATTGGAATTGTACATCTAGACGTATTACTGTAGAATCTCTGAGCAGAATATGTGTAAGTAACCAAAATAAGAAAGAATATAAGAAATATTCCTGAAGCTAGATATGTCTCACAATTTTGTAGAATCTTACAGCATATTTGATAAATTCTCAGTGAAAATGTTGGCTAGGCAAGTTCAGTTAAAATATAGTAGAAATGTTTATCCTGGTTTCTCTAAGTATACGTTAATTGTACAGAAAGCTTACAGTGTAACATTGTGTCAACTTTGCAGATTGACTGTATATGACCTTAATCTTTGTGCAGCCTGAAGGGTCAGTGTAGTAATGCCAGGAAAGTGCTTTTTACCTAAGACTTCCTTCTCAGCTTCTCCCATGAAGAGACCCTAATAAGCATTTGATTTGTAATTGGAAATGTAACTTTTACTGGAAGTGTCATGTGATGTTTGCATTACTTTTAACTGCTATGTATAAATGAAAGTGTATCTTTTGACTTTATCAGTTATTTCTCTTGTGCACAGGCAAAAATGCATTAAAATGACTAAAAAAATAAAAAAATTAAAAATGAATAAATCTTTTCCTTTTTGCCTTCTGGCCCCAGGGTCATGTGTAGAAGGGTTATCTCGCCCCACAATTATATAAATATTCCCTTTAGTTCACTTTTATGTTTTTAACAATGTTGCTCTATAGGGAATTATTATGATGTGCGGATTTAGATATTCTAATTATTGCTCCCCAATTATTAGTATTTTTTCTCACACAAATTTAAAATATACATGTTCATACTTTGTTCTGTGTTTGATTTCTCTTTGGTTCCACTGAATAATGTAGCCCTAGTATCTCACTCTGTAGTTCTTAAGGTGGAACTATGACTTCATATCCATTGATCTTTTTTTATATTTATTTTTTACAATTTGCTGATGGTTCTCACATGCTTTTTTTTTTAATATTTGTTATTTTTATTTTATGTGTATGCGTGTATTGCCTGCATGTAGGTAAGTGCACCTGTGTCGTGCAATGCCCATGGAGGACAGAAGTGGCCGTTGGATCCCCTGGAACTGGAGTTACGGACAGTTGTTAGAGCTGCCATGTGGGTGCTGGGATTCGAACCTGGGTCTTCTGCAAGAACAGCCAGTGTTCTTAACCACTGAGCCATCTCTCCGGCCCCCTCACATGCTTATTTTTTACCAGATGAACATTCAGTTAACAGACTTCCCTGTAAATACTATTTTGGGAATTCAGCTAGGATATTTTTAAATTGATATGATGCTGAAAACTATAGAATTATATCATTTTCAGGAAACTTATGTTGCTTTATTTGGTTTATTTTACTGAGGTTTGGGGGTGGAGGAGTGTTTTGGTATTTGGGAGCCAGGTCTCACTATAGGCTAGGGAAGCATAGGACTTAACCATATAGCCATGTATCCTAGGCTAGTCTTGAACTTAAATCTTCTTCAGGCTCTCAAATGCTAGGATTAGTACACCTAGCAAGGCTTTATTTTTTAAATTTGGTTAAAGCATTTTACATCCTTCAAGAGAGTATTTAAGTATTTATTTAAGTCCTGTGTAGTTCATAAATATATTCCTAGTTAATATAGCAGGAAACCAGTTGTACTACCACTAGTGGGAGTTTCTAGCATGTTACTCAGTGTAGTCACTTTTGTTGTACAGAATTTGTTTTCACATATTATTTTAAATTAGTATTTTATCAAAATCAATTTAATAGAAATTTGGTTGATCTTTTTGAGTTTTTCAGTGATAAATTGTGTGTCCTCTTTTTCACATCTATAGCATAAGCTGCTAACCACATGGACTACACGTTTGCTAGAAGTACTAAGTAATATGGAATTATTTTGTTCTTGCTTTTTTCATTTTAACCATAATGTGTTTGATGCAGCAGTTCTGTTTCTTAAAGAAACATTTTTCTGAGACATGGAGAATAAGTTTGCAAAATTAGTTCCTGTTAGACTCATTGTACACTAAACATTGGCCATTATCCTTTTTAAATAACTAGTTTCTTTTAAATATATGTAATGATATTTGGTCTTTCTAAGAACAACAGCTTAGGAGATAAAGGCATTATTTCACTGCCATGTAGTATGGATGTTTGAGAGCATGACAAAGATAGTCTACCATAATAAATTTAAGAATCTTAATGATGTGAATGATTTTAGAAGTAAATACTAAAACTGAGGGGTGTAGAAAATAAATCAGTAGCCACATGAGAAGCTAGATATCATCTGAGGCCTTAGCTTAGACATTTAAGCAGGTAAATTTCTGCGAAATATTCAAGGAACAGGATTCCTGAGCTTTGCCAAATTGTATTTTTAAAAATATGTTTTCTTACAGAAAAGATCTGTGTCTTTATTAGGTCCATTATTTTTCTGATTTCTAATTTATTAATTAAAAAAAACTACTTGAACCTCATTTTAAATTAAATTCTAATTTGTTTTTAATTTAATTAAAAAACTGTTTCGGCCTCATTTTAACTTTAGCTCTTATCTCTTAAGGAATATTTCCTCTTACTGCTGGTTTTTGTGTACATTCTGTTTTTATTTTGGGTTCTCTTCATCTATTGAACAATTTATTTATTTATCATTGACTCAAGAAGGTATAGCCAGAATTGCTGTCCTTCCACTTCCAAAAACAGTGATTCTTCTATCTTTTCACTGTACACGTGCTATCCTCTCAAATTGTTTGAGTTGCAGAAGTTTTTATTATGGACTCTGTAATTCAGCAGGATGCAGGAGTTGGGAAGAAGCTTAGGCCAGCAAGATTGCACCAGAAGAACTTCACAATCAAGAGACACCTTTGATCATTTGCCCCTTTGACCTCTACTTCAGGTATGTACAGGTAGCATATATACTTTTTCTGTTTATGATGAGTGGGGAGAGGTAGTTGGGATAGATACACAACACTGAAACAAATCTTGTTAATTTATCAATAAGAACTCAGGTGCAGATCATGTAGATGCTGGGAAACCATGATCAGGAGATACCTGTTATTTGGGAATGGTTGATCTTTCCCTCTCTGAGAGGGTAGTCTGCTTTAAATTGTGTTGGTTTGTAGGGTCAAAATAAGAGCAAATGAAATAATTGCCGTCAGGGCTTAATGTAGAGATTAGAGTTGTGGCAGGAAAGGCCTGTGACCCATTTCTCACATTCATGAAGTGACTCAAATCTAGAATTGACATTATTTGCAAATAATTGGTAACTTCATCGAAATGACTGAACTTACCTGATGAAAAATGTCCATCATAAATCTTAATTTAGTAAATGTAAAAAGTTGGTTTTTGGTGGGGAAGGGGGTCGTTTTGAGACTGGGTCTCCCTGTAGCCCCAGCTGACCTGGCACTTACTATGTATGAACTCACAGAGATTGCCGGCCTCTGCCTCTGCCTCCTGAGTGCTGGGACTAAAGGCGTGCTCCACCATGCCCAGCTAAATGTAAAAAGTTTAAATGATGGTAAGTTTGCCATTTCTAATTTGGTATTTTGTTTTTAAAACATTATGAAGATTAATTAAATGTAAATTATACAGTTTTCCTTCAACTTCTAATTTTCTCCTCTCACTCTTAACTATTTTATACCTCCATCCCCGGCCCTTGTTCTTTAAAGCTAGACGGGATTAGTGGGTTTGTGCCATGAGTTTTTAATTTGTCAGGCTGTCACAGAACTTCCTCATATTTCTCATATCCTTTAACATGGCCCCATCAGCATTATATCTCAGAAATTCCTTGAGAATTCTGTTGCCCTTTTTTTTTTTTTACAGGTTTTGCTCAATTTTTATTTTTGTCACTTCTGATGATTTGTTAGAAGAACAAGAGTTAAGATCCTGTTCTTTTGCTACCAACTTCCCAGAAATCTGTAGGGAGATGAGGGAAAAGCCATTTATGAAAACAGAAGAGAAACATGATTTGGCAGACAGACCACACACAGCAAAGAGCAAATTTTATTAAGTGATGTACATGTTTGCCTAGGCTTTAGACTTCGATGCAGGGTTTTTATCCAGCTTTGGTAAAAGCACCTTTAAACCAACAAACTCAAAGGTTTAAGAAATCCAATTTCTGAAGAAAGTGGGCTTTTATGTTCCAACAGCAATATTCAACAAATAGGAAGGAACTGAAGCATAAAGCTCCAGCTGTATCGAGGTATCTAAGCACAGACCAGGGCTCCCTAAGATAGCACTTTCAAAGTCCAACTTCAGAACTTCTTGGACTAGAAGCTGGGGAGATGGCTCATGGGGTAAGAGCACTTGCTCTTAAGCATGAAGACCTGAGTTTGAATCTCTAGCAGCCACGTAAAAAAAAAAAAATGGGGCATTGTGCATGCCTGTAACTCCAGCAGTCTGAGGGGTAGAGATGCAGGTCCTGAAATCTTGCTGGCCAGCCAGCCATTCTAGCTGTTTCCTTGAGACCCTATCTCAAGGAAACAAGGTGGAGAGCAATAGAGTAAAACACCTAGTAACCTGCTCTGGCCACCACAGGCTTGTGCACACCCACATACATAGGTCCATGACCCCCCCTTCCCATATACAGGAACTTGGGCTAATGTGAGCATTAGCAAAGATGCTAATTGCAGGAAAATATTTTATAGTTGACTATTGAAAGAATTATTGATGAACATAATAAACAAAAATTGATCGTTCTGCCTTAACAGGGATTTTACGATACCATCTTGTCACACCAAGTTAATTTTTTTGTTAGATTATGATAACAGTAATCCCTAGAAAATTCATGGTAATATTCATTTGTCATAACAACTTTATAAGATAGCACTATTTTTATGTTCCCAGTTTACAGAGAAGGAAAGCAAAATAAGGCTGGATAACATTGGAAGGTCACACTGCTATCAAGTGGCAGACTCAAGATTTGAACTGATTCAGTGTACTGCATCCCACCAGTTCCATTAAGTTATACTGGTTTGTATTAATCTCTCATAGACATCGTATAATTATATACTAACTAGCTGGCCTGGGTGTTGCTCAGATTGCATATCCCTTGTTAAATAAATGCATCTCTGCTGCTATTCAGCCTGAAACAGATTACATAAAAAGGCACATATGAGAATCAGCTTTGCCATAAATAAAAAGTAATTGAAATATTGCATATTTGAAACTTCTCTTTAAGAACATCTGTTTGCAGTGGTCTAATACATATAGTATGTCTGCAAATTGGCAATCACTTTTGCCATTGTGCTTTAGCTGCTCTGAAAGATGTCTGCTTTGTGTTGAGCTGCCTCCAGGGATCTCAGAAAACAACCATTGCCTCACTGAGGCATTTGACAGTTCCTCAGAATGCCCTTGGGAATAAAGTGTAATAACATGAGCTAGATGATCATGGTTTGACAGTAGATGGGTTAGTACTTTGGACTGATAGTGTTCAAAAGTGTGCCAGTCAGTGTGGACAGAAATTTCTACCTTTAGCTTTATCGCACAAAAGTAATTTTCAATTACTAGCATAAAAACATAAAATAGCATGCTTGGCCCATTGCAAACATAGATGTAGAATGCAGAATAAATACCACTGAGTTTTATTAGCAAGATCCAAACAGGCTGGGGAAAAACTTGAATCTACGAGGATTAAATTGAACAGGCTCAAGCATAAATTATTTGTTTCAGAATTCAGTTACTACAAGTAAGTAGTTTTGTGGCTTAAGAAAGACATATACACATACACATAAAATAATAAGCAAAAAATTTGGGGGTCTCTTTTTGAGACAGGGTCTCCCTGTAGCCTCAGCTGGCCTGGAACTATGTAGACCAGGGTGGCCTTGAACTCACAGAGATCCTCATGCCTCTGCCTCCCGAGTGCTAGGATTAAAGGCCCATGCCACCATGCCCAACATAAATAAAATTTTAATAAATGGCTTATGTGGGCAGGAGAGATGGCTCAGCGATTAAGACCACTGACTGCTCTTGCAGAGGACCCAGGATCGATTCCCAGCACCTACATGGTGGCTAACAACCATTTGTAACTCCAGTTCCAGGAGATCCAATGCCTTCTGACCTCCTTGGGCATTGATGACACAGGCACACTTACACCCATGCAGGTAATACACTCATACACATAAAAATAATAAATATTTTTTAAAAGAATGGCGTGCGTGAAGAAGACTCTGGTTTTCATTTACTGTAAATTCAACATGAGCTAGCTGTGTGCGATTACAATGCTTACATATGTAATGAAATTTTAGGCTTCATTAGTAGAGGCATGGTGCCCAGAACAAAGAATGTTTTGTTCTGTTCTTGATAGTTTATGTGGGAGACAGGGTCATATCATAGTGCTACAATTAAGATGTATATAGATAATATAAAAAGTGACCAAGATGGTGAGTAGGTTATAAACAGACACAGAACATGTATTGAAAAGGTCAGGAATGCTTTCATCTAAAGAGATTGTGGATAGTTTCAAGTAATTGAAGCCCTTTCATGCAGAAGAGTGATAACATTTACTTGGAATACATCCAGAGGGCATATTAATTCAGATAATACAAATCAGAACTTTGGCATACTGTTAGGAACTTTATAGCAAGTAATCAAAGATACCTTCTAACCTAGGTCTGTTTAAGCAGAAGCCCACTTTGCAGAAATGTTCAAAAATGACTTTGTGGGGCTGTAGGGTTGGCTCAATGGTTAAGAGCACTGGCTCCTCTTGCAAAGGACCCAGATTTGATTCCCAGCACCCACAGGACAGCTAACAATCATCTGTAACTCCAGTTTCAGAGGAATCTGATGCCCTCTTCTGACCTCCACAGGCATTGTTCAACACAGGTGGACTTACATACATTCAGGCAACACACTCATACACATAAAATAAAAAAAAAAAGATATTTAAAAAAACAAAAATGGTCTTGTATATCAGGTAAAATTTTGGAATAGAAATCTCCAAGATTCCTGCAAAGCTTATGCTCTTCTAGTGGACTTTTGGGCTTCTCAGTGAAATTTCAAGGCCTGAAATGAAATTTGTTTTTCAGTTGGGTCATGATACCGACTTCTGCATTTCATGGGTTAATAAACAGCAACTTAAAAGTGAGCTGTATACTTTTGTTGATACATAATCTAGGTAAATTCATTAACCACTTTATCTTTAAATTCTGTACATGGGAAAAGGACCTAAACTATAAAATTGTAACCTGAATGTCACAAACTGCCAAGGATTTAGGAGGAAAAAATAGGAGGGGATACTTAGATTGAAAGACTTTGGTTGAAAGAGATATGTGGTGGGAAGATCTGACCTATTTCTCTAGATAGTATTCCCATATCCTCTCTCATTTGCAGTAGTGCTTAAGATGGTGGGAGGAAGTTGGCACCGAGAATGGAATGTAAGATATAATTGCAGACAACATTTTAAAAATTCCATGTATAATACCTTAGTTACAGTTATCTGTTTGGAGAATAAAAAGAAATGTTTGTAGACAAGTCCTGAACTGGGATTAGAGAAGCTTTCAGACCTCATCAGACAAGTTTCATTGTGTAGTGATTACACAGAAACTCACAACTGGTCAAAGTTCAGAAAATAAATGACTATGCTGTGTTCAGCCACAGATGGAACATCTATACCACACCCCTCCCCTAGGCTCGGGGACCATTCTGGAAGAGGAGATGGAAAGATTGTAAGAGTCAGAGGTCAGGGAAGACCAGAGCAAAACAGTGTTCTGGACATGACAGGACCATTGCACTCGTGAACTCACAGCAGCAGTTTGCCTGTGTTTGCTTGTATAAGATCAAGCCATTCAACATTCTAGCATGGAATGGGAAGAGGTTCATGAGCCCCCAGCCCTAACTGAGGAACTATCGACACTTGATGACTTCTGGGGAAGGGTCAGTTTTCTTTAAAGATGTGGCTCCTGGTAGGTCAACCACCTTCTAGTGGTTGGCCCCACACCCATGAGTATATGGACAACACTAATTGGACTTGGTGGGTTACGAAAAAAAGAGGAATAGAAGTTGAGGGGGGAGTAAGAAAGTAGCGGTGGATATGGGATGAGTTAAGAGGAGGAGTTGGAAGTGAATATTATCAAAATACATTATGTGAAATTCTCAAAGAACTAAAATATTTATAAAAATTTTTCACTTTTTAAAAATATTTCATTTATTATTTTTATTTTATGTGTATGAGTGTAATACCTGCATGTATGTAACTATACCAGTGTTGTGCAGTATCCTTGGAGTTTAGAAGAGGGTGTCGGATCCCCTTGGAACTGGAGTTACAGACAGTTGTTAGCTGCCATGTAGGTGCTGGGAACTGAATACTGGTCCTCTGCAAGAGCTGCCAGTGCCCTTCACTGCTGAGTCATCGCTCCAGCCCCTTCACTTTTCTTTACATGACACCAAAATCATTACGTGAAATTACCTTAAGATTTTAAGTCACTATGCTTTGCTCCTAGGGTTCTGAAGCGTCTGCAAAAGAGTATCCTAGAACCAGTTACAGGCTGAAATACATATCACATTGAGGACTGTGAATTGAATCTGGAATATATGTATAAATATATGTGGCTGTGTGTATGTGAAACTTTGGTTTTTACAGCTCAATTAGAGTTTTTACTGTACATACTTGTACTGATGAATTGCCCTGGTATACTTCCCCCTTAGGTTTGGACTTCTGTATGGGCCTTGACCCAGGTAAACCAAACATCATGTTATTTAGAGGCCATAGGTCTTGCCTTCTTCACTCTATACCATACCTGTGTTTCTGGATATATTCCTATGTGTAAAGGACTTCAGTTCTTTTAGTTTTCTTTTACATAAACTTTTTTTACTTTAAAATGATTTTAAATCCAGAAAAAGTGTTAGAACAGTATAGAGTTCTGATATACTTTATATCAAATTTCTCCCTCTTCGTGTCATCTCGCAGTATAGTGTATATGTTACAACTAATGAAGCAATATTGGTACATTATTATCAAGTCCATTCAAATTTCCTTAGATTTTACCTGATGTCTTTTTTTCTGTTCAAGCAATCCATCCAGGATACCACATTATATTGATTCATCGCATCTCCTGACTCCAACAGCATCTGACTTTCCTTGTTTCTAAAGACCTTGATAGACTTGAAGAGTACTGGTCAGTTATTTTGTCTAATGTCCCTCAATTAGAATTTGTCTGGTATTTTTCTTCTGATTATTGATGTTTTTGAAGAATGTCACAGAGATGAAGTACCATTTTTACCATGTCATATCAAGAATGTACTATCAACATGACTTCTTCCCATTCATATTGACCTTGATCACTTAGCTGGAGGACACTAGTGTGTCAGTCTTACCCATTGTGAACTTATCCCTTGTCCCTCCTTTTGATACTGTACTCTTGGAAGAAATTTCTATGTGCAGCCCATCCTTACGTGGAGAGTTGTGCTTTGCTTACTTGAGGGTGAAGTATCTAAAGAATTTATTTAAAGCTCTTCTTAAAGGGAGGTTTGTCTCCTTGCCACCATTTATTTATATTTATATATTGGGTTAAGCAATTCGTTGCTTAAATCCTTCAACTTTGGTCATTGATTGCTTTTTGAAGCCAACTCCTAAGGCTTGTGATACATCTCATTTTTTTTTGAGCATTTCATACTTTCTGACACTATAAGATTCCCCAAGATCAACTTGTATATTTCTTGACTGACTTCTAAGAGCCCTAGCTCCATTTTTTATTGATTTGCGCTAAAAGTCAAGATCTGGATTTCAGATGTTCTTGTTGCTACTGGTGTATAATAAATTTTAGGCCCTTCTGGCTGACAGAATAAGGAAATATGTATATCCTTATAGACACATTCTAAAAATTTTTTATACAAAATCATCTACATTAAGGTAAACATGAGATTTTACTAATGTTTCAAGTCTAATCTTTTGCTCAAAGGATCTTTAATAATCCATATTCTTCATTCAAGTTTTATAATTCAAGTTTTGTAATTCTTGCTGCAACAGGGAGAAACCTATGTTCTAATATTTGCCACCTACTTACTTAATTGTTTAACTCTGGTATTATATGTATAGCAGTATCAAAATTGCTAACCTATAATTTCATGGGAAACAACTTTATCAAATAAAGTTGAGTCCTTAGGTACAATTTGATTTACCTTTAGCCTTACAGATTCCATTTATCTCCTGTTAGGTAAGTC